CTCTCACAGGCTTCACCCTGCAGCCAGGCTACTTCCTGTGTAGTTCTAGCACATGCTCGATTCATAAGAACTTACACAGCACAGACAAAATTAAACAAACACGTGACCTCATTTGGCATAGACTCACCTGTCACAGCAAGGTTTGCTGGCTCAATCACCTGTTACACCACTCTTACAAGATTCCTTTCAGAACGTGGGAAAATCTCTGAGGAGCGCCTCAGTTGTTTTCCATCCCATGTGTTGTCCTTCAGTCGTGTATTGCTATCTGTGGTGATGCTGTTCCTTCTCACCCACTTGAACAGAGACTTGTGCTATGCAAATTGATGTCCCTCCCCATCCCACGTACCGTGGTCATCCCCTCTATTATTTCATTGTAGGATAAAGCCAACATTTTCAAATGTAGGTGCCTAAAGTTAGGTTCCTAGTTCCATATATGGGCACCTTCAGTGGAAGCTCCTGGGTGCTCAGCACTTTTTAAAATCAAGCCACTTAATATCAGTGCATAAATGTGCATTTCAGGGTACATCTACAGAGCCACCAGCAGCGAGCCTCTAAGCCTGGGTCAACAGATTTGGAATCACCCTACAAATAGCTGTGTAGCAGCACTTTGAAGTTGTGGCCTTCAGAATCAGAGTTCCAGACCAAACTGCCATGTTTACATAGCTATTGTTAGCAGAGTGGCATGAGCCCTGCAAGCACAAGTCTGTTGACGCAGGCTCGGGCCAAATTCTGACCTCAATTACACCTATGTGTTTTCCATTGACTCAGGTGTCAATGAATGCTGATTATGGTCCACGGGCATTTAGTCTTCTCATTGAGATAACAAAGAACAGACCCCCCTAATAACAATTTGCTCACTACAAATTTGACTTCTGGGTCCTTACTTATACTTATATTACTTATTTAATATACTCTGAATTAAATGCAACTCATTATGGGTTAAATTCACCTCTGTGCAAAGAACCAGCACAAAGTCTATGCACCATGTAAGCATTTGCAGAGGTGTGAATTTCACCTGGTTACTTTATTGGCATGATACATTCAAGCCTCAAGATTTTTCTTATTTTTTTTCTTGCTTAAAAGCTGACTGCACAGTATTTCAATTTCTCATTTTCAAGACAAAGCTATATCTGTGAGCTAAAAAACCAAGGATGCTCACTCTAAATGATATAGAATTTTATTTATTGAATTCCTGAGTAAAAATAAAAAGCATCAAGAAATATTCCGGTACAAAGCCGTCTACATCCCCATAAATGTACAGACTTGAATATTCAAAAAAGCTTTATTCCTCTGTGAAAGTTAAGTTGAACTTGGTGCAAATCCACTGTGCAATTCTTTGGCAGTTATGACCAAAAGATAATTCTGAAGAAGTTACAGTAAATTTCATTGAGAATTATTAAAACTATTATTATTGAACTGCAAGTTCAATTTTAAAACAAAACCGAGCAAAGTCACGTATTGCAGCTTTACAACTCCAGCATTTTACAAAGCTGGAAACTCTTTTTATGCAATACATGTCAGTAAGTTTTCATGAACCACTTATAGAAATGTAAAGGAACACTGTCAAGCAATGAAAAAACAAAAAGAGAAAAAACAACAAGTAAATTCTACCCTATGCAGAGAAAACTCTGGTGGGAGAGAATCATTAGCCACATCCTCTGACTCCCCGAAAAAAACACCTGACTGCACATTACTGTTACTGCTACTTAAATATGTGTAAATCCTTGAGCCCAGTAATGGGCATTGTGTTGTTGGGTAATTGGCTTTTGCTGTGCTATAATTGTACTGTCTGTGTAACAAAATTATCACTCACTTTTAATTTAATCTCATTACAGATTAAAATGTGTCTTTTGTCTTATTTCCATTGCTGCTGATCATTAGTTCTTAAAAGACTAATTTCAGCAAAGCACATGAGCATGTGCTTCTCTTTAAGTACACGAGCCATCCCAATAACTACAAAGTTAAGCATGTGCGTAAATACTTTGTTGAATTGCGGCTTATGACACTTGACTGATGGCTGTTCTTGTACCAGCCTTCTGGACTATTTGTTTTCTGTTTGCTGTATAGTCCATTAGGGGCTGCTTTGCCTCCATTTATTAATGTACGAATGGAAAACCAGGTACGTTAACAGGTTGTCACTATCCTCTTTGCACAGCACCTTGGCCTGATATGTAGCAACACTCCAGTCTTTTGGATTGCATGGTTGGATTCCTGTTCAGGTAAAATGGCACCATAAACTTTAATTAGGAATATTTCATCGAACTTTAACAGTATAAATCTCCTGTTTCTAGATACGTTATTTGTAAAACCCTTGTATTGGCTTGAAAATAGCGTTGTTGTTGTTTTTTTGCCTCTGCTGCGCTCCAGATATCAGAGGGGCTCCAAAGCCACCCTACTGGAGCACTGGGGATTGCCCACCTCCTCTTAGCCACATCTCCATTTGATGTGCAGGGTGTGGCCAGAGCACTGGGCATACTCAGCTGCTCCCCAGTCAGCATAACAGCCCACTAGAGTGAAGCTCTGGGATATTGGCTTTTTTCAACTTTTTCAATTGGAAAACACTTAAAAAAAACCCCTGCATTTTTTGCAAAAGACAGTTACTCACCTTTGTAACTGTTGTTCTTCGAGATGTGTTCCTCATATCCATTCCAATTAGGTGTGTGCGCGCTGCGTGCACCATCATCGGAAGATTTTTACCCTAGCAACACTCGGTGGGTCAGCTGAGGCACCCCCTGGAGTGGCGATTTTACGGCACCGGATATATATCCCAGCCAGCCCAGCGCCCCCTCAGTTCCTTCTTGCCAGCTACTCTGACAGAGGGGAAGGAGAGCAGGTTTGGAATGGATACGAGCAACACATCTCGAAGAACAACAGTTACAAAGGTGAGTAACTGTCTTTTCTTCTTCAAGTGCTTGCTCATATTGATTCCAATTAGGTGACTCCCAAGCCTTACCTAGGCGGTGGGGTCGGAGTGAGATGTCGTGGAGTGCAGAACCGATGAGCCAAATGCCATGTCACCCCTTGACCGCTGAACTATGGCATAGTGGGAAGCAAAGATATGCACCGATTACCAAGTTGCTGCCCTACATATCTCCTGTATGGGTACATGAGCCAGGAAGGCGGAGAACAAAGCATGAGCCCTAGTGGAGTGGGCAGTAATGTGCGTAGTTGGGACACCAGCCAAGTCATAGCACGCACGGATGCATGATGTGATCCAGGACGATATACACTGGGTGGAGACCGGAAGGCCC